TAGTTCTTGTTCCATGTCTAGTACTGCAAATGGTCCCTGTGTGCATCATCTTGGGAACAGTAATAAGAAAAACAATCTGTGGATTAGAAATCCATAGATCTAGAGGTTTACTGTACTATAATGCTGGTGTCTTAAAAAACAAAAAACAAAAAACAAAAAAAAAACAGCCACACAGATTTGTCAGTCTCATGGCTCTAGAGGTCAAAAGTTCAGGGACAACTCTGGGACTAACAGCAAGTTATTGACCAGCTGCACTTGGAGCCCTGGGGGAGGATCCATTTCTTTCCATCCCCACCCCAGGTCCTAAAATTGAAATAAATAGCTTTCCCTAAAAGAATGTTGCCTCCACTTTAAGCTCTCTGCATATAACCTGATAAAGAAATCTCAACATTAAAACATACTGAGTGTCCAGTGGAGATATTAAAACAGAGAAAATCGTTTTTATTATCTGGAGCCTCCAAGGTTGGCCCCTGGCATTTCTTGGCAACAGCTTAATCAAATAGTCTCTCTCAGTACACCATCTATTTCCTATGCTCATTATAGCTCTACTGTGCCCTGAATGCTGCCTTGAATGGTACAGAATTCCTATAAAACTTTAGTGCATACTAATTATTAGATGATTAGTTGACTGGGGAGTTTCACTTGTGTATTGCATCTTAAAAAATAGACTGCCAGGTTATTTTTATTACAACAACAATAATAAAGTACAATTGATGGGAGTCATTTCTCACCTTCTAGCATAAGGACTAGGAAATAAATTCAGGTTGCCAGGCTTGGTGACAAACACCAAGCTTACCCAGTAAGCTGACCTGATGGATGGCCCACAGATTAGCAGCTTTTTAAAAGATTGAACATGCAACTCACATTTATATCCCTGGGTATTTATTCCAGAGAAATAACAATTTATATCTCGTTGAAAACCTGTATATTATGTTTACAGCAGCTTTACACTCTGTAGCCAACCCTAGAAACTACACAGTTAATAGGGTACATCCACACTGTGAAATAGTACTCAGCAAGCTAAAGGAAGCAATTACCCATACACATAGCTATGTGGATGAAATGCAGTTAGACTTGGAGAAAAGAAACTAATCCAAAAGGGTTACACATACATATCATTCAAATTGGGTAACATTCTTGATCATTGGTACAACCTGGATAATGGGTATAAGGAATTTCTCTATTGTTTTTCATTTGTGTTTCATTTTACGTTTTTTTTTGTTGATATACTATTTGTTGATATACTATATGTAATTTTTTTATTAGTTCAAATTAGGAACAAGCTTGCTTCACATGTCAATCCCTTCTCCCTCCCTTCCCCACCAACCCTCCTGCCCAATGACTCACCTGTGCCACACCCATCCACCCTCCACTCCCCAGGCAGGGTAGGGCCCTCGACGGGGCTCCCCAAAGTCTACTACATCATCCTGGGCTGGTCCTAGCCCCCCACCATGTGTCCAGGCCAAGTGTGCATCATTTTACTTTTGAGGCAAGAGTTTTGAGTTGTAATCCAGTCTGACCTCAAACCAGTAATCCTCCAGTTTCATCCTCCCAAATGCTGGGGTTTCCTTACCTCTGTCTTACCTGACTCTGCAATTACTTAAGTTAAGGCTTATTTTTTTAAAGCCCTGTTTAATAAAGTATTCACCATAAAGCTGTTCACAAACAATAATTTTGGTGCTACCAAATTTCTTCTTTATTTTCCTCCCTAGATATTCGTAGACTATTAATTTCTTATTGCTGAAGGTTTTATCTCCTGTTTAAGACACTTGTGACACTGGTGATCCTGGATTGTTTTCATGATTGTACTGTGTTGTTCTTGGATTCTTATTTTCCATGCTGCTCTGTTGCCTCCCATCCATTGCTCTGATCTTTTCCCATCCTGACTAAGAAGATATCATCAACTGAGCTTATTGGTTTGGATTCCAATCTCCAGCAACACCCTAGTAAGGAAAGATGTCTTCATCATTTCCCAAGCAGAGAGTTGTTTTGAAAAGACCATTCTCAGCCAGAATAGTAGCTCATGCCTGTAACGTCAGCCCAGGGGAAGCTAAAGTAGGAAGACCTTGAGTTTTAGATCAACTAGAGCCTTGGGAGCTCAGTGTCATGAAAGGACTTCCTGGGGTTGCCTTGGTCTGAGAAATCTTTTACAGGTACTTTTCATCTCTTTGTCTCTCTACCAAGTTGAGTACAGCTTGCTGGCATCATCCTTAGCGAGTGTCCACTGAACTTTGGCTAACCTTGACTAGCAAGTTCTTTTTAGATTTTGACAGCATGTCATCACTGTTGCTGCATCCATACATGTCCCCATTGTGATTTGCATCTTGTTCTAAGAGCCTGTGGTGGCTGGGGTGATCTGACCCAGGGCAGAGCAGGATCGGTCCTGTAGTTTGTCTTGATAAGTGTGGTTTCATACAAAATTTCTTTCTGCTTTCTTTTTCAGTGACTACAGGAAAAATCCAGGAATACATCACCAATCAGGTATTTCCTCACCTTCTCACAATCCAATTCAAAGATTTTAAATGCTACGACTTGCATTAATAAATGTTTCAATCAGCTTGTGCTCATCATTAGTGATGAGTAATAGACACAGAGTCTCTTGGTTCTTAGAAGCAATACATCACTCATCTGTGAATGACCATGCGCTTTCTTTGTCTGTCTCAACCCCATTGCTTCCCTCTATCCCATCTTACCAAAAACAAGAAGAGTAGACACACTCTGTCACTCTAAACATGTAAGTGTCCCTGTGATCATGTTGCCACTTCTGGAACAAATAGACTCACAACTCAGGTGACTCTCCTCTGTCATCTCAAGGTTTAATTCAAACAGATTGACTTGAATGGCTACCAGGGCCCACTAGAGAGGAAAAGCGTGTTATCATTTCCCTGTGCTCAACTTAGCTGGTATGTTCCTATTTCACACTCTCCATGCCCAGTCTCTGTATGATCTAATGGCTCTACTGTCAGCTACATATACTCTTTACAGGGATGGTGACATGTAGCCATCCATGGGATAAACCAATAGATGCTGTCACCAAGAGTTATAATACTGGGCCCACTAACCCCTTCTGTAGGCCAGTCGAGCTGCAGGACCGCCACATGCTACTTGCTCAAGAGACTCAGAAAATTCTGACATTTGGCCTGTGGCAAAATACTGCTCAAATTTCACTCCCAGATACAAATCTCCATGGCTTTTTTCTTTCTTTTTCTCTGGTATAAATTATAACTCACCATTGCCAAGGAGAAAGGTGGTAAGTGTACATTTATATTGGGCAAGTTACATTTTTCTTTTCCTGTGTTCTGCTTTTTATGGTTATGTCTATTTTTATTATCTTTTTAGTTAGCATGCAAAGAATGGGTTTCGGTAGACTTTAGATGTAGCTTGGTGGCTAGAGTGCTTTGTTAAAGGAGCATGAAGCCCTGCATTCTTTCTCCAACACCACATAAATTACATGTGCTGGAGTGTGCCTATAATACAGCTCTTAGAGAGGTGGACGCTTGGGCATGGAATTAAAAGTGCAGGTTGTCCTTGGTTAATGGAGGAGGTGGAGATCAATCTGGAATACTTGGGTTCATTACAACATCCTCATACATGTGTATTATACTTCCTTGTGTTTACCTTTCCCATTACCCTCACTTGTCTAGTGGTCCCCCAAATAGTTTCCCCTCAGTTCTCATACAGAGTCTGAGTCTGGCTGCAATGTACCTGGATAAATACCTGAAGAAATCTAAATCACATATCAAAATCACATATCACAGAGGTAGCAGCATGTCTGTGTTGTTGTAACAATATTCTCCTTTATGTCAGTCACTAATGTCTTCTAAACGTAAGCTTCAATTTTAGTTCCCATTGTTAATTCACCCAAATGAAAATATGGCTTTTGCCTTGTCAGTACCAGATACCCTTTAATTCATCAAGCTTTAAACACTGAGTACTCAAATTGCTTAATATACCCCACAGCAATATTAATAAGCAGGATCAAGCATTTTTCTGTCCCTTTACATGTGTATGTACCCATAGATGGGTGGGTGGGTGGATGGATGGATGGATGGATGGATGGATGGATTTTTAAATTGGCTTACAGGATACCATCTGGGAGTCTAACAATGGCTGTTTTCACACTAGAGAGGCTGAGAAACAGTAGCTTCCCAGTCCACAAGGCTAGATGCCTCATCAGTTCCAATCTGGTGCTAAAGGCCTAGAGGATTCCTGGAGAGCCACTAGTCTTTAGTCCACCTTGGCAGGCCAAAGAAACTGTTAGCCAAAGACAGCAGCAGAAGCAGCAACAGGATAGACGAACTCACCAGAAAGGTCCTTCTATATCTGGGTTGCTGCAGGTGGGAGGAGCCACCAAACCTCCAAGTAGGTCTTCTGCCTCAGTTAGTCTGAGAACAGCCTTCTAGTATGACCAGAGATACCTCTAAAGTAGATGGTCCCTCACTGTTATGAGGAGAAATTTGTCTCATGAATGATTCTAGATATTGTCAAGTTGACAGTAAATATCAACCATCAAAAATATCAACAATAATATCTCTAAAATTGTCAGTAGGAATAATTAATCTTAAGATAGGTAAGACATGGACTGCAAGGACTCTCTATATTTAATCAGGAACCCAGCAAAGTGTGTGTGTTAGAGCAAAGGACTATCAGTCTAAGACGCTAACCATGGGTATACATTTTCAACTTCAAAGATGATGGGGAAAAGATGTAGGTACACGAAGGAAAAGAAGATATCTCATCATGAAATCTGGTGGTGTGGGGGGAGAGAGCATATCTCAGAAGACAAAAGAAACATAAATGAAATTTTCCCTGTTTTGGATTATGGCCAAAAGTTTCCCATTCCCTTCCCTCACCCACTCAATTTTGAACACAATGTAAAGGTTGCATTACAAGAGCAGAGCAGCCCACATGGTGCTGGTATCTGAGAATACCATGATTGTGTAATGACAAAGTCATCTGGCCTCTCACCAGGTTCATTTACCTTCCTACCTCTGTCTCTTTACATTCTTTGAGTGGTTTAACAAGGCAGAATCATAGTTAAGACCTAAAGTTTATTGTTGTTATGCTTATACATTTGCCACAGATGGAATGCTTTTCTCATAAAGATATCCACTTTCCCCATTGATATAATGGGTTGAAATAGTAAATAAATAAGTAAATAAATAACTCCCCCCCAAAAAAACTATTTAATTGAGTTTTCATTGTGAAGCTTCCACCACACATATGTATTTTGCTTGTTGAGACTATTTCCCTCACAACCCACCCTCCCTTTTCTCATTCCTTCTCCATCCCATTGGTCCCTTTGTTATTCCAGTGTACTTCTTGTGTGTGTGTGTGTTTGTGTGTGTGTGTGTGTGTGTGTGTGTGTGTGTGTGTATTCATACATATGTGACATATATGTGACTATGTATAGCCAAAAATTTATAATTTTATGTATCTACATAAAATCTAGAAACCACAAATAGAAAGAAAGTGTGGTATTGCCTTTCTGCAATGGACTTAATTCACTTAATATGCTTATCTCCAACTGCACTGAGGCAAGTCCTTACAGGAGAATTTTTGTTTCCTGTATGTTGTTCCTTTGTTCATTTGGCTAAACTAATAGAATATGTGAACACCAAAACAGAACACCAAATATTTACTCATGATCTTAAACACGGATCGGATACCAGTCTCAAGAAGCAATTTAAAGTCTTTGAACTTTACCATGAGGGGAATGCCTTAATGCATTTCTCACACAGCCCTTCTCAGAACAGAATCCCCTTGTTCAATCTCTGTCCAACAGCTCACATTTCTAATACCCCAGTGGAATTTCTATTCATCGTTCTTCCAATGAGGGACATGCTTTCCATTCTCAAAAACACAATTCAAAGAGTCATTGACAACTTTTATTTATCTATTTTTTAGAAGCAAAGTTAAGCCACCCCCATTTGCATTTCTTTCCTTTCTTCTGCTTTGTTTCATTTTTTTTCTGAAACAAGATTTTATTTTACAACCCAAGCTGGCATAGAACTCACTAATATGTCCCAGGCTGTCTTCGAACTCATGTCAATCCTTTTATCCTCCTCTTTTTGAAATCACTCTGCTACCAAAGCAGTTTGTTTCTTGAGGAGCACTTACTTCCATTGGTAGAGGGATGTATTGCAGCATGTGTGTTGAGCTTGTGTGAGACAGTTCTCTCCTACAACCTGCCTTCCAGGGATTCAACTCGGGTGTCAGGCTTGGTGGCAAGTACTATCCCATGAGCCCCAAGAGAAACACTTTTGAAAACTCACTTTGGATAATCAATACAGTATTCTTTATCAGACGGCGATGCAAAATGGAATGCTTTTGAGCATTAATCTTGCCCCTAAATCCTTCCTACTGGGCACTATAAATTGTGTAATTAAACTGAAATTGAAAATTGAGCCTTTCCTCTCACCCTTTCTTTCCCCTGCAGTGGCAGAGAGTTCTGCACCAACAAGAGAAACCAAGGCTAGAAGGGGAGGGAGGGGAGCTCAGGATCTGCTGGCCAATACCCAGTGCCCCAGTGGTGTTTTTAGCCTTGCTGGGAGGGGGGGCACTCAGGACCCGCTGGCCAATACCTAGTGTGTGTTTTTGCCTCCAGATCCTTTAGCACACCTGATCTCTGAGAACAAACAATCATTTGGGTCCTCTGGAGGGAACCCTGCATTCTTTCCTGGTGTAACTCCCTGGGGAAATCAGAAGGCTTTTTAAAAGTAACTCGTTAATGCAGCTTGTTTACAAGAAAGGGACAAAAGTGATCAGCAAAGCACTTGGCAGCTCCTGTCCCAAGATGTCATAAATGCATGACCCATTTTTTCAGCTGTGTCTTTGGCAACTCACTGCTATAGTAATCTCCTATTTGGAAAATGTTACTTGTTGAAATGAAGCCTCCTATGGGTTTGCTGAATAATTTTCACCATGGTAGATTAAAGCAAATACCTTAAAATACTTCCAAAATTATTTCCAAAATCAAATAATTGTCGTCATGAGGGGAGAGGGCAAGAAAGGACCTGAAAGCCGTTCCCTTTTGCTGCTGGAAACAGCCTTGTTATACAGTCAGCAATTGCACCCCCAGTAAATGAATACCGGCTGTTTATGTCCTTTACAAAGCAGGTCATCAAAGCCCTTAGTGCATTAGGACCTCAGGGTCTTGCATCAAGGTGACAAGGGAGTGCACTGTGTGGGCATCCATGGGTTATGAAGAGGCATTTGTGCTGTGGAGAACAGCCCCAGTTCAGGAGCTAGCTCTCAGACAGCTTAGCCCTCACTGATTGCCCAGGTCCCAAGCCTGCACCCAGGCTATTCGTGTGTCTTCCGGAGTTGCCATAGCAAGCTAGTGCGAATGAGGGACAAACAAGTCTGGAGGCTCTACATTCAAAGTTAGGGTGCTGCAGAGACCACCTTTCTTCTAAAACCATTGCCAGGATTCTTCCCTACACATCTTAGTTCCTGGTAAGTACCAGAAATCCCTGGTT